ACCGAAGCGCTCTTAGCAAGCAGGTAACCGACGTGTCGGTGCGACCCTACCGCAACTTGTTTATTAAAAGCGAACAAACGAATAAAAATAAAAACAAAAAAATACATATGTAATTTGTTGTAGAAGGTGAGATTTACGACTGGCATGTTGAGTTTGGGAGAGCGCTCAAGAATGAGAACGTATAGAGAACTGGGAAAAACCGCCAAAATGGGTTGAGTTTGTTTTGCATCGATTTTCCGGCCGCTATAATGGATGCACATATTTACCTTTCACCAATTTCCATTGCAGAAAATCCGTATGGAAATGAGTGAAGCGACGAAGGAGTCCTCCACAAGCGATGTAGCGCAGAGTGAGGAGCAGCAAGTGGATGCTGCTACTACGGCCAGCGGCAAAGAATCCAAAGATACCACATCTGATGCAGCACCAATGGACTCGGATAATGTGCAGGCACAAAGCGAGCAATGCTCCACGGCAACCACAGTGGACATCAATACGCTGACTCCGTCGACACCTTCGCAGACGCCGCCACAGCTGCTGGCGGCCGAAGCGAGTGCAACACCGACTGCAGCGTCAAGTGGCACAGTGGCTGCAGCAGCTATACCCGAGAATATACTATCACCACCCAAGTCGGAAACACAAACGGATGAAACAAATACGGCCACATCGACCTCATGCTCGCCGGCTTCTGAGGGTCAGCGGTCGCCTACGGGAGAAGCAGATCAGCAACAACAAGAGCAAAAACAAAAACAGCAGCCGCAGCCAACGTTAGCACCAAAAGAGGAAGCAACGCAGAAGGAGGAGCTGGAGCTGGAACTGGATAAGGCAACAGCTGTTGTTAATGGCACCATACCAAAGTCGGGCAAACCGCTGGTAACGGCGCTCAATAAGAAACTTAACAAGTCAGCCAACACATCGCCGCGAGCGTCACGTGCGCGCAAGCCAAAGGCTTTGCCCATGTACGAGAGCGAAATCAGCGACAACAAAGTTGGCATCAAGCTGTGCATTAAGAAGTCCGATGCGGCTGCTGGATCATCAGAATTGCCAGTGGTCTCTGCGCCGGCCCCAAGGCCACCAGCGCCAGCGAAGCCGGCACGCAAGCGCGTTCGCAAACCAAAACAACAACAGGACAGCGACGAGAGTGAGTATGAGCCGCGCAAGAAGAAGGGTGGTGGGGGCAGCAACAACGGCGAGCGCCAGAAAAGGACATCAACAAACGCCTCTGCTCAGCAGGCGGCAGAAGCGGACAGCGAGCCGGTTGAGCAGAGTGCCTGGGGCCATAAGTTACCTGAAGAAGTGCTCTTTCGTGTAAGTCAACAGCATAGTAGAGATATTCTGTTAACTCCATGGTAATTTTTTCCATAAATGCTTACAGATTTTTGAACATGTTGTCGATAAGGAGGGCTGCCTGCCCACCCTATTTCGGTTGGGTCGTGTGTGCTCGCTGTGGCGACAGGTCTCGCTGAGACCAACGCTATGGCGCACCATGGATTTGACCACCTGGATTAAGGAAAAGTACCGAACGGAACTTAAACTGAAATGGTTTGTGGACAATCGTTGCAGTGCTTGCACCGAATTAAATGTCTGTAAGTATCCGCGCAGGCTTCTTTACATGTTGATATTATAACTTAATTCTTGATTTACAGCCAATTGGAAGATATCAGACATCAATTGCTTTCTGGCAAAGCTCTCCACTGGCTGTCCAAATCTGACGGGCATCACGCTATCTGGCTGGAAAGGCTTCACATCGGATCATTTGACGTATCTTGTCGATAATATGCAAAAGCTACAGCGCTTAGACTTAAGCTCAATTAATGTAAGTCAGTAAAGTACGATAGAATACTTTGTAAATTATTTTTAAAACGCTTTTACAGGTCGAAATGAATGCTAGCAAGAGCGCTGTTGGCGTTAACTCACTTTGCAATGCGCTCCAGACCATGGGCAGTCGCTTGACCCACCTTTACTTGGCACACAACCGTCTAGCTGGAATTCCCAATATTGTCAGCGTACTTGCGGTGCGGAAAACAATTTTTTACTTTTATTTGAGACAGTTGTATTAATGAATGTTGCCATTAACCTTTTCTCTTCGCAGACGCATTGTCCAAATTTGACGCTCCTAGATCTCTCAAACGTAACCACACAAGCTACATCGCACGGCGTGCTGTACATCGAGAAGCTGCAGCATGGTTGCCAGAAGCTTAAGGTGCTGCGTGTCACCAACTCCCACATAACGCCGAGTACGGCCAGCATGCAGGAGATTGTGAGTACTGATGGTTGACTTTATTGCCAAACCTTTTAATTAATACATTTTGATTTTCAGATGGACTCGCCAGGTTTTCCCAATCTAGAGGAGCTCTCCGTGGCAGCTTTGACCGATGAATCCCGCATCATAAGTGATGACCATCTACAACGTATATTAAAGAGTAGCTCTAAGTTAAAGCTACTGGATGTGCGCAATTGCACACGTCTGACGCACGAAAGCTTAATACGTTTGCCAGCCTGGGATATTAAGCATTTATTTCTCTCCGGCTGCTCGGTCACCCGTGATATGGGGTGAGTGGGGCCATGCATAGAATTCAGAACAGAACTTAATATAATAATATATCTATGTTCCTTGCAGATCGGGTCTGGAACTTATTGCGTCCAAATGGGCGCATAGTCTAATCGAACTGGATCTGGCCTGGGCTAACGTCCAGCAGCCCATAGACAATGCTTTGCGCGCACTGGCTGAGAAAGGCAGCGAGTCTCCATTGGCGTAAGTGAACTATATTCGAAATTATTTAATGCTCAATTGAAACTGAATTTTTTTGCCTTTTAACAGTCACTTAAATCTATGCGGCTCATCAGTATCTGAGGAGGCGGTTAAGGAAATACTCACGAACTGTGTGCACATGAGCTCAATAAATCTTGCATCATGCCGCGGCTTGCCCCGTGGCGTTAAGCGCCTTATGCAGGGACCACAGGAGCTGCATGAACTGCGCGAGGTGCTCGGTGTGCAATTAAAAGTGCAGTAGAATGGACTACAGGAGGGTGCAATAATTATATATTGAAAGCTGTGTCGGCGGCGGCAACAACAACTTGAAACGAAATGAATGTAATTGCTGCTAGCTGGCAGCTTGAATGTAATTAAAATTGTTGCATTCTTAAAGATTAGGCAAAGCGTTCAGTGTTTGTGGGACTGTCCACAATAATGTAATAGTCGAAATCGCTTCGCATCTTCCAATCATGCTTATATTGTTTCTAGGCCGCACCCTTGTGTTTTGTAAATGCAATATGTATCTTATAATTTATTTGTTTCGAATTTCAACGGGATAATTAAGCACGTTGAAACAAATCGTAAATATATACAGTGATGTTTAGATGATTTTTTTTTGTATTGCATATATTGATTAGAGCGTAGATAAGCAACTAATGACCACTGTATGTTTGTAAAGTATGTATGCATATTTAAGATTAAGTTTAAACGTAATTTGTATGCTTTTGCAATACAAAAACAAAACAAAACAACATGATTAACAATAAATAGTAGTAGTCGTCAATTCAATGCCGCTAAGGCAATTTGTAGAACGTTTTAACCCAGATCAAGTTTGTAAATAAGTATTTGGCGCTTAAGAAACTTTATTGAAATCGAAAATAGTAGTTAGCATACATATTGAACGATTTCACACACACACACACACATATATAAAACAATTCAATTGTTAAGCATTATTAGCAGTTAAGAGAAGGCAATTAAAGGTATATTTAATTTTAAATAAAAAAAACTTTAATATTCTGAGCCAGTCTTTAGAGTAAATTCAATGAATTCCTGGCCAATCCCAAACGAGTACTACATTTAGTTACTTTTGTCACTAATTAAATTTTTATTTAAGTTGCGTACGTAAATATTTTGCACATTATTAAACTATGAGCGTATTATAATCGTGGGCATGTCTGCAACTTTACAAAAACTAGTATACAACATAAATCGCCTTTACCATTTCCGTCTCGGTAGCCATCAACTTTTGTTTTAGTTCTTCAGCTTGTCAAGGTCATGAATGTAGTCCGTACCAATTTTGACAATGGCGGCGCCTGTTCCCAAGCCGGCTAGCGTGGCGAGCAGCGAGTTGTCCTTAGGCAACGCGGATTTGATCAGTGCCCAGGCCAGTACCGATCCCATGCTAAACAGCGTAGCTGCAAGCAATGCATACGCTCCGCGTTTGTTGTTCTTAATGTCCTTTAAGTGTGGTCGGCCGTAAATATAGAAGGCACTTCCAACGACTGCGGAAATCAGGAATACATTCGTCAGATCCTTTTTGGGTAATAGTTTCGGCACAATCTGGGGATTCATGACGTTGACGCTAAGGGCTCCATAGCTTACGAGACCGTGCAGTGGTATGTAATAGTTGAATACGTTGTCTTTGGTCAGGGGTCTTAGACCAACTTTCTCGCAAATGGTGCAGGCGTCTTTATTCTGTGTGCTAGCCATTGTGTGAAATTTTTTGGATGCTACAAATGCAAAAAGTGTTGCTCTCTTCAGTTATGTAAAGAACAGACAGTGTTGTCAAGTGGCGCAATTAAAGATTATTGTGCCGGTTTGCTTTTAGCCTGTGTCGATGGTATCTAAATAAATAAATTGTTTCTAGTAGGAATTCTTGTGTAAAGTTATTTCAAGCTTTGTTTTCATTATCTGACTAAATAGGCAACGTGTGCTTACAGTAATAAATATACAAAATGCGTGTGTAACCATCAATAGCCGGTAATATAAAACATGGTGGCAACTTTCTTGCTTGCAATTGCAGGGATGTCAGTAATATTGCTTGAAAATATAATACAAATATGTATATGCTCATTTAATTTTAAGTGATTTAGTTGGAATTCAAGTTTTTTTTATTTACAATTATTTCAACGGCCTTACAGACAATTTAAAATTGCTTAACTTGATGTCATAGCGCTGCCACATAGTCGAAAACAATTTAATGTATTTATATCAACAAATTTCGATAACAATTTATCGCTTACAGAAATTATCGTGCATTGGCCGAAAAGCATATAGTGTTGAGTTTTTTGCAGCTAGGATAATAAATTAATTAATGCGCGTATTTAATGTGCAGCAGTACACAACAATCACGTGAAGATAACACAAAATACACGCAACAACGACAGCTTAAGCTCGTGCCGTGTAAGACATGTTGACGCACAAAACTTGCCAGGCCAGAAAAAAAATGCAGGTGAGTTTACCCCAATAAGAAACACCGGGTTTATGGCATGGAGGTGCCGCTGGCGTAAGTAACGCACGAGATTACCTGACTTTTTGGGCACAGCCCTTAATTGAATTACGAGTATTCATGCTGCTTGGTATTTGTTCATTTTTTTTTTTTTTTTAATTTTTTCCAGGTTTCCTTTGTGATACGAGACGCGGAGGAGAAACAGCATCGGAATGGCGTTAACGCTCTGCAATTGGATAGCAACAATGGCAAGTTGTATTCGGCGGGTCGAGATGCCATTATACGGGTCTGGAACACACGCACGGAATCCAACGATAAGTATATACAATCTATGGAGCATCACAACGACTGGGTCAACGACATTGTGCTCTGCTGTAACGGCAGAAATTGTAAGTCCCATTCGTGAAGTTCGAGTGCTTTTAACTAGCTAATCGACCTCTCTTTGCAGTGATCAGCGCCAGCTGTGATACCACTGTGAAGGTGTGGAATGCACACAAAGGCTTTTGCATGTCCACACTGCGCACGCATCGCGATTATGTGCAGGCGCTGGCATATGCCAAGGATCGGGAACAAGTTGCCAGTGCAGGCCTGGATAAGGCCATATTTTTGTGGGATGTGAATACGCTAACAGCTTTAACTGCCAGCAACAATACCGTTACAACCTCTAGTCTGACAGGCTCGAAGGACTCAATATACAGCCTGGCCATGAATCCCTCCGGAACCGTTATTGTCAGCGGGTCCACGGAGAACATATTGCGCATATGGGATCCGCGAACTTGCATGCGCAGCATGAAGCTGCGCGGCCACACAGAGAACGTACGCTGCCTCGTTGTATCACCGGATGGCAATCAGGTTGTCTCCGGCAGCTCTGATGGCACAATCAAGGTGTGGAACTTGGGCCAACAGCGTTGCATACAAACGATACACGTCCACAAGGAGGGCGTGTGGTCGTTGCTTATGAGCGAGAATTTCCAGTACATTATTTCGGGCAGCAGAGATCGAAATATAATTGTAACGGAAATGCGCAATCCCAGCAACAAGATGCTTGTATGTGAGGAGAAGGCGCCAGTGCTCAGTTTGGGCTATAATATCGATAAAACAGGTGTATGGGCAACTACTTGGAATTCGGATATACGTTGCTGGAAGCTGCCCATGTATGACAGATGCACGCTCAGCTCTGGGGGCATGGATGCACAGTGGACAATGGGTGGCACAGAGCTGGCGTGCATTAAAGGTGGAGCGGCGATCAAGGAATGCACGGTGCTAAACGATAAACGCTATATCATAACAAAAGACTCACAGGATCAGGTTGTGGTCTATGACGTGCTACGTGTGATCAAAAAAGAAGAACTGGGTCCCGTCGACTACGAAGAGGAAGTGAAGAAGCGTAACAAACAAGTCTACATTCCAAATTGGTTTACTGTTGATTTAAAAACCGGCGTACGTTTCATTATTTACCATTGATCACATTTAGAAATATTCTAATCAATTAACTTTCTTTGGTTTGCACAGATGCCAACGATAGTTTTAGGTCAAGAGGAGGTTGATTGCTTTGCGGCTTGGGTATCCATAGAAGCCGGCCTACCTGAATGTGATGATCCAACAACAGAGATCAAAGTATGTACCTTAGCTTATGTAGACAGAGCATATAATCTTTTATATATATATTTGCAGATCAATTATGGAAAGCTTCTTTTGGAGGCACTGCTAGAGTATTGGACTCCGCCCCACAGTATGCCGCCAAATGAAATGGAGCCCGACGTGCGCGGCAATGGCTATTTTCAAGTGCCCAAACACACACCTGTCATATTTAGGTGAGTGTAAATCCAAGACTTAAACTTGTTTAATCCTTGGATCATCGTTTATTTTGTAGTGAGGTGGGTGGACGCACCGTGTGTCGACTGCTGGTGCGCGATGCTGCGGGCGACAGTGAGAGCACACTGCTCCATGAGACGGCGCCGCAATGGGTGACGGACGTTGTGATCGAAAGAAATATACCCAAATTCCTAAAAATACCGTTCTTCCTGCAGCCACATCCACAAATGACCAAGCCCGAGCGCACCAAAAAGGTATGAGCAACTCTTTAACGAAATGTTAACTTAATATAACTATTTGGTTTGCGTGAACAGGATCGCCTGGTGGCCAACGAGTTTATACAGTGTCGCAAGGTATGCGAGCATGTGCTGGAGAAGGTGCTTAATGCAGAGACAACGCCTAGCGGCGGCAATGCTAATAACTCATTACAAAATAGTCAAAGCGATGCCAATTCGGAGGGATCTCAGCTGCCAGCGGAGGAGCGCATAGAGTTGTGGTGCAACGATGTGGTAAGTGAAACTATAAAACCGCATACGGTTTACATTTTTAGCTAATGTGTTTTATCTGTCTCAGATCGTTGATCCGAATATGGATCTGCGTACAGTGCGTCATTTTATATGGAAGCAATCGACTGATTTAACATTTCAATATAAAACAAAGCAGAACTTTAACTTTGATGGTAAATAATACAACATTTGCAAACACAACAACACAAAATTCATACACACACACACAAACACACAGTGAGATTTATGATGATAATTATTTTATAGTCTAATAGTTAGTTGTGTTTATCCACCCAATAGGTTCAATCGGTGATAGCTTGGAGCGCGTGACTCGCAAGTATTGAGTGCGGTTCAGCTACCAGAGTATTGTGCTTTACCTAAGGCGTTGCTTTCCACAGACGCATGTGATTTCAATATTTTATGTTTCTTTGTTATTTAATGGGCTAAAATTGATCAAACACATTTGTTTTTTGTATGTACTTTTCGACTTTTTTATTCTATCAATTCATTTAACAACATTCAATTTGGATTTGTCCAAAACACTTACACTAAATGCACGCAAATGGTTATGTTTTTGTTTAGGAATAAAGTGAGTTTTACATAAACTATATATATATATAGATCAAATATCGGAGCCTGCAGCCGTTCATAACATTGGATAAAACCGTATTCACACTTTTATACATACCATTTGCATAAACGAACATAAATACAACAAGCAAACGCCCGTCTATAAACAGTTTCATAAAGCAGCTAGAGATCGATGCATATATATATATATATATAGATGTATATATATATGTTGTATGTACGTTTGTTTACTTATTAAATACATAATACATATAATTCTAAGTAATCTGTTATATGGTAAAAGAAAAAGGAAACAATGCAATTGTAGAAAACATATAATCTCATATGCAAGCCAATTTGTAAATAAGTGAAAATAAGAGAAAAAAAACTTACAAAAATCAATCAAAATCATATTAAATTATTTGGAAATCAAGCTTGGCTTTCCTTTCCTTTCATAGAGTAAACGAGCACAAATTATGACTAACACTTAATATATAATTCTATATTCGTGACGATATCGCGCCTCTCTCTACCGACGATTTCTCATGCGCCGCCTCATTTGGTTCGCCTGGCTGCAGTAGGCCTCGATGGTGTTGAGCAAGATATGCATCTGTTGCTTCAGTGTTACAGGTATCATGTAGCTATTGATGTACTCTCGTGGTGCATCGTAGGTACGCTTCAGCCATCTGACAATGAGCCACAAGCAGTTCTCCTTCAGTGTGCGCAGCGGAAAGTGTATCAGGATTTGGCTTCGTACATCGCACAGATCTTCCGGCTGTTGCGGATTTCTGGGCACGCGTATGCGCACAGGAAAAAACAAACGCTGCGACCGCACATGCATACGTTCGCCAGTATAATAATCGCGAAAGAACCAAATGTGCGTATTATACGTATTTACGGGCACTCCCTCGTTCGGCTTTAATGTTACCTGAATGTTTTCCGTGTCCGGATCGCGTACCCAGTACAAATCCAATGTGCGATTTGTTGTGTTGACAAACAGCACGTAGACCTCGACTTCTTCCTGGGGCATTGCTCGTAGGTGTTCGCCCCATTCGCGATTGTTGCGTGCAATCTGCATCGCCATATTGAGACGAGTGCTTATTCGATCATATAGTAAGGTTTAAAAAAGAAAACAATTCAAATTTAAATTTGTTTTCTATTTTGGTTTGTTTGCTTTTTCAATTTGCTCAAAGCGTACAAGTGTCTGTATGTATCTTCTTCTATACTTGTCATTCACAGTTTGCCCGGTGCAATTCACACAGAACTCGGACAGTTTCTAACGAGTTGGCAGCTCTGCCGGATATTAACAGCTGGTGGTCAATGTAAACGCACATAAAAACAAAACTAGGCGAGATTTGGAATAAACAATGGCATTTTGCATTGCTGTGATTGGCAAAGACGTCAGTTATGCTTAATTTGTAATATTCATATGCCTAAAAACGTGAATTGTGCTTTTTTTTAGAATGCGCCATTGTACTTGGCCACATCCGATTTGGAACGGGAGTTGGATCTGCAATATCATGTACATGCAGCACTCGATGTGGTTGAAGAAAAGTGTCTTGTGGGCAAGGGTGCGCCCGAGTCCAAGGAACTCTACTTGGGCCTGCTCTTTTCCACAGAGAATCATAAAATGTAACTGCAGTGATGTAAAACGCATGCCTCACCAAAATCTATAAAAGAGCACTGTTTCATTTTAGCTACGGTTTTGTCACCAATTCACGGGTCAAGTTTATAGTTGTCATCGATTCCAGCAACATCGCATTGCGGGAGAACGAAGTGCGTGCGGTATGTGCAAGTGATTTTGGAAGCTGTGACTGCTCGTAAACTAATTATGTGTTTTGCAGATATTTCGCAATTTGCATATGCTTTATACGGACGCTGTTTGCAATCCATTCTACATTCCGGGCGAGCAGCTGAGCTCCAAGTAAATGACTCAATCATCAAATGTTTTTCTTTTATATCATTTACCATTTTGTTTTTTTGCAGAAAATTTGATCGAGCAGTGCAGAAGCTTATGAGCGGCAATGCTTAACGTTAAGATTAGGTATTTATTTTATTAACCAACGCGACGTATTCCCCTAGAAACGATCATATAAATTTGTACCCAACTAACTTGCTAAATAAACAATCTGTTAAAGAAAACTCAACTCAAAATTGAAACAATTGCAAAAATTGTAGTGCCAGACATATCAGCATGTCGAAACCAAGCCTAGTCATATCTGTGTCTATTTTTATTGAACATCCCGAAAAGTTTACAAATTGATTTATCTATGAATATGCATATGTAAATAGCTATAAATTTGTAAAAAAAGAAATTCTTTCAATAAGTTGTTATCTTTGAAAGTCAAGGTCAGTTTTAATTTATGCAAAGCAGATTATAGTCTGATCCATGGGACAAATTATCAGTAATTCGAATGAAAAGATGTTGAAATAAAATGTTAATAAACATCATATTTAAATATAAAAAAATTCACACATTAGTGCACGGTTTAAAAACCTGTTGATCACGTGAGACGATGCCAAAAATTGAATGCAAATTAAATGTCTTGGGCGGAAAAACGATAATAGTTGTATTCAACACGACTAAATTGATACACTACATGTGAAGAAAAGCTTAAGAGTTCGATTATTGGATAATAATATTATGTCAAATATACATGTTGTAATTGGTAATTTATTTATTTATTTATTTATTAATGGTCGACAAAACGAGTGTCTTCCTCATTATTCAAAATTGTATAATATAATTATATGCTAAAAGCCTAGTTAAAGGATACAATTTTCTAAATAGCATCACCGACCGATGGAGGTGTTTTATTTGCCAGTCCGGCCAGCTGTGCCCCTTTTCACAGCTAATTTTGTCAGTGACGCTATTAGAGCCTACATCTAAGCAGAAGGTTGTAAGTAGGAAAAAAGTGATCTCAAGTGAAATTAAAAATAATCTTAATTTGCTATATTAATAAAGAAAATACAATAAATAGGAAAAAAGAAAGTAAGAAAATTGTTAATAAAGTAAAGCAATGTAAGTTAGATAAAGAGTGTTAAGTGGATAGGACAAAGAGAAAAGTAATGGGAAATCGCCGACACGGTGGGGGAAAATTTTTCAGCCTGTCCGGCTAGCTATGCCCCTGCTCATAGCTGGGAATGGTCAGCGACTTCCCGAAGGTATCCTGAAAGCAACGATTTTATTAGGGGTAGAGACAGTTCGGTAGAGAAAACGTGATGTAAACTATTATAATTTTTACATAGCACGCGAAAAGAATTGTGCATAGCGTAATCAGTTGTGCACGTAGATAGTAATAAGGGGCGATAATTTCTGGTTGGTCTAGCCGGAACAGAGAATTGAAGACGCCCTAGCAGAAAAGGAGAATCAATGTCGCCAATAATCAACTTATGTAGAAGGACAACACCGAGAATTGTCCTACGGTTGATTAACGACGGAAGGTTGAGAAGAAGCAGTCTGCTGGAGTAGGACGGCAACCGAAGATTAGGGTCCCAATTTAAACCTCGTAAGGCAAAAAGCAGAAATTGCTTCTGAACAGATTCAATACGATCCTGGCTGTTGATATACTGTGGAGACCAGATGCAAGAGCAGTATTCAAGGATAGGGCGAACAAGAGAGATGTACAGAAGTTTTGTTATAAAAGGATCGTTAAACTCTTTAGACCATCGTTTAATGAATCCAAGTACACCTTTTGCCTCATTAACAATGGTATCTATATGAAGATTGAAACAGAGTTTAGAATCAAAAATAACGCCTAGATCCTTAACTGTTAGTATACGTTGCAAAGGGATATTGTCGATTGTATAACTGACAAGATAAGGTGTAGTACGATTAAAAGTCATAAACATACACTTTGAACAATTTAGATGCAGTTGATTGGCCGAACACCAAAGTTGCATAGCGTTCAAATCGTCTTGTAGACGAGAATGATGTAGGGGGTTGGTGTATGATAGAAAAAGTTTGACATCGTCCGCATACATGAGTACACGAGCATGTGATATAACAGAGGGAAGATCATTTATAAAAAGTGTAAAGAGTAAAGGTCCAAGATGACTACCTTGAGGAACACCAGAAGTAACGTGAACCCTTTTAGAGGTAGTCAACCTCAGTATTACTCTTTGGGTCCTACCTTTTAAATAAGAATTAATCCAAAGTAAAAGGGACAGAGGGAAACCTATTCGGTCAAGTTTAAAAAGTAAAATGTCATGGTGCACAGAGTCAAACGCCTTACTGAAGTCAGTGTAAATGACATCAGTTTGCATTTTCGAAAGGAAAGCATCATTTACCAAGGAAGTAAACTCAAGCAGATTGGTCGTAGTTGACCGATTCTTTACGAATCCATGTTGAACAGGGGAAACAACTGATTTGCAGAAATGCTGCAAATTCGAAGTGATTATTTTTTCAAATAATTTAGGAATAGCAGACAGTTTTGCAATGCCCCTGTAATTTTGTATATCAGACTTCCCACCTTTCTTGTGAAGAGGAATGATATAAGATTCTTTCCAAAGAGATGGAAAGACAGAAGTTTCAAGGGATAGATTAAAAAGCTTTAGCAATGGATAGAAAAGGGAAGAACTACACTCCTTGAGTAGACAACTAGGAATATTGTCCGGCCCAGGAGAGTAAGAAGATTTTAGAGAGTTTATAGCTAATAGGAGAGAGGAGTGTGAAATAATGGGGGGAGGTATAGAACTAGCGGAGGAAATAGTATAAGGGTAAGAATTAGTATTAGGACAGACTGAAGAGTAAGTTGATTGGAAAAAATTAGCAAAGAGGTTAGCAGAATCAGTGTCATTGCTAGCTTTATCCATCCCAAGAAAAAAAGAAGATGGCAAACTTGAAGACTTACGCTTCAAGTTTACAAAATTATAAAACTGTCTCGGATTTCGGGCGAATTGCCTTTTACAACGAATTAGATAATTCTCATAGCATTGAGAATTAAGAAGAAAGAAGTTCGACTTGGCTATGGAATATTTAGCCAAGTCTGTACACGAACCAGACTTTTTAAACTTTTTAAAATATTTGGATTTTACATTTTTTAGGTGTGATAATCTGGGAGTAAACCAGGGTGGTTTTGAAAAAGTAGTCGAAGGAATTGACTTAGGAATACACACATCTAAGAGGGAGTTTAGGGTGATATAAAAAGAATTAATAGCTGTATTCATATCAACTGAGTCATATAAGAAAGACCAATCGGTTGAATAAATAAGCTGATTCAGCAAGGAATAATTTCCTTTGCGAAAGCAATAGCGGGGCTTATTGGCTGATGAGCACGAAATGGAAGGATTACAATTTAGCATTGCAATCTCTAAAGTTGGATGATAGACATCCTCAGGAAGAGATAAAGGAGGTGACCTAGACACATTAGAAATAAGGTAGTCGTTAACAAATACAAGGTCAAGTGTTCTATTCATATGATTAGAAATTGAATTGATTTGAAACAACGAAAGATCAAGCATGCAGTCTAAAAAATCGTGCTGTGCTGAGGGCACTAGATAATTTTCAGCAGTGAATAATGACCAAGAGATGTTCGGCAAATTAAAATCACCCAACACCAATAATAGGTCATTATCCCGCACGTGTGAAGAAACTTCTTTAATACAAGTAATATGATTCATATAAACTTGGATATCAGAAGAAGGTGGGACATAAGAGCATGTTACATAGATATTCCGTGTAGGAAAAGACACCTTAACTGAGACAATCTCAGCGTCAGTAGGCGTACTAAAACAGAAAAGTTCAGACTGGAGAGTGGCTTTAACGGCAATTAACACCCCACCACCTCGAGTCGGCCGATCATTTCTAAACAAAATAAAGTTATTCGGTAATATCTCAAAATCAGATATGGTTGAGTTTAACCATGTTTCTGAAAATGCTATTATGTCCGAATCGAAGGAAGTGCTGGCAATAAAAAGATTTTTCAGCTTTGAAGTGAGACCTCTGACATTCTGATAATGAATAAAGATTTGGTCAGAAGATGAAGCTAGTTTTTTGGGGCAGAAATGGTACCCTGTATTGAAGGGACTGGAAGGGTGACAGGCTGGTTACGCTTTTTAGGCTTGAACTCATGAACAATCATGTGTGGTGGCCAAAATTTGGGATCACAAATGATTGGGAACATATCATGTGAAACATTTATTTTGAATGATGATATTTCACGAGGGGTGGAGAAATTAAATTTAGTTATTGACACGCTAGCAGAAGATTTGCTAGCAATATAGGCTGCCAATGACTCAGAAGTGGTGTCCGACGAAAGTCGAGACACAAAAACTTGCCTACGAGGGGCAACTACCGTTAAAGTAGGCGCTGATGGGGCTGTAGGTAATACAGGAGTTGGAGGAGCTAACGAGGCACAATGATTGCTTTTAACAATCTGCGCAAGATTGCGCGCAGGTCTACCTTTGCGGCCAGGAGCTGACGGGGCTGAGGCAGTTTGATTAATTAGGACGGAATCAAGTACGGGCTCTACTGGGTCAAGTAGAGGGCTTGAAGCCGGGGTAATTGGACAGTCGCTTGGAGAAGGCGATAAAGACAACATTGGAGATACCTCCAAGTTGCTAGGAAGAGACAAGAAAGTCGTAGGTGTCTGAACAGACGTAGAGGGCAATTGCAAAAGTTGAGGCTCCAACCGGCGATTGGTTGGGGACTCAAATTTATATTTGCCTAGCAACTCGAAACTCGAGTCAAAATTACTCGAGAGCTGCTTAGCCACATTATTTAATTTTAAGAATTGACCTCTCACAGAATTATACATTCTGGAGAAATCAATTTGCTTGTCGATAATAAGATATATTTATTAGCGTGAAGTTGTGTATAAAGAAAAGAACCAGGGTATTTGGATCTATGACAAATTAGAATATCTCAAGCGACTAACGATTTAATTAATATTATTTATGACGCATATGCATGTTATCTAGTTGATAATTAGTATATGTCATGCATATGTATCAATTTCCGCTTGTTTTAATGCTGCGAACTTGTTATGTTTATAAACCAAACGAGTATCGAGGAGATCAAACGGCATGTGTATTGCGTGGTAAGGCAGTTATAGACAGACACACTCAAAAATTGTGTTTAAAAATTCATTTGTACTGAAAATAATAATATATTTACATAATTAATGATAATCAACATTCCTAGCGCCACAGACGAAACGTATAAAAGCTTTGACTAACCAGACAGCTGGTATCAGTAAGTCTTTCCAAGTCTTTCCGCAAACAACATGAAGTTCATTGTGAGTTAGCCCTCAAATTTAAATCAAGCAAAGTATAAAAACAAATCCTTTGTCTTCACAGATCGCCCTCGCCTGCCTGGTGGCATTGGCCTGCGCCAATGAGAATGCTAATGTGTTAAAGAGAGAACAGGAGGTCAACGTTAACGACTTCAAATTTGCCTATGAGTTGGACAATTCAGTGAAAGTAGCGCAAGAAGGTAAACTGAAGGGAGAGGATATATGGGAGGTGAAGGGTGACCAGGGTTGGACGTCTCCTGAGGGAGAACAAGTTAGTCTCCAATACGTGGCTGACGAAAACGGCTACCAAGTTCTTTCTGCCAATCCCGCTCTGCCAACCCCACCACCAATCCCAGAGGCAATCCAAAGGGCACTCGAATGGATCGCAGCTCATCCAAAAGCGATGAATAAAACTAAGCTACGTTTTGTTAACAATAAAAGCATAAATATGTTAAAAAAAAAAAAACAAACAAACAACAACCTTTCGATTGCGAGTTCAAAAATATGATATATAATATTTCTCTTATGTCTCGGGCTTTTGACATTTTCGGATTGCGAGTTTACACAGAAACCAGATCAGAATAATATATACCCTTTATGCTATTGATGCGAGTTGCAAAATACTGGGTATCTTATGGTCAACCATTTGTCTCTATTGCTGATCATAGATGCGAAACGTATCTAATTATAATTCACATCTCAATGTCTGTTTGTTTTTTTGTTTATTTCGGGGATGCACAATTAATTTGCCCCCCAAGCAATATGATAATGAACATGTTAAGCATATGCAATTGTATATATACCATATTTCTTAGATTATTTGATTTCCGTTTTGTTTGCCAGTGCCAGAAAACAAGTTATACACAAAATATTGCGTCGCATATGCAAATGAGGGTCAAATTTGATACGCACAAATAGCTGAAATTCATATACATACCCTAGGTGGTCGGCAGTTAGACAGATAGACAGACGTACAGATTGACGGACGGACGGACAGTCAGACGGACGTATGTGCTAACAGGCAATAAAGGTTAACTGCGGCACGCTGAAGATTAAATACCCTTGCGGCTTGCGGCCATTGAGTAATAAATATTTATTATATATTATATTTGTTATATATATTTTATTTATTTAATATATATTTATCTATTATATATTTATTGATAACATATAACATTTATAAATGGGCTTTGCAGGTATGTGAGAATAATTGGTTAAAATAACGTGGACAACAAAAATGTTGATTTTACAAGAGCCTAGTCTTTGTTCTCTTGGCACTATCTTTCTTTCTTTATACTATCTGCAACAGAAATGAACTATGAGAGTAGCATAAGAATGTGTGTTATTTTTAAAGCAATATAAACAGATTGAATAAAAAACAAAAAAGAGTCTAGCTCGCATAGAAGCAGTTAGACAGACTGCAGGACATGTCTATATCAGCTATATATATATATAGTCTATATGTATATTGATTCTGTTCTAGTATATGTTTACCCCATGAGGTTTTTTGCATTACATAATTTATGTCTAAATTATGTTACCCCCTTTACGAGGGTATACATCCATGGGATATTTGGTTTCAGTGCCAAACATTCATTAAATTCATATTAAATATTTGTTTTGCCGAAAATTTTGCCTGACTTTTGATTTCATTTTGTATTTGGGTCTCGATCTGCGGCCTTGTGCTTTAATTTATTCTTAATAGAAATTAAAGACCATTTGCTATGCTTTCAGTTTGCCTCCTCGTTACGCTCTCTTTAATAAAGAGCTATTTATTTATTTATTATAAAAATAAAATAATGCAGTTTTCGTGGTTGAAAAGTAGGCAACAGTTTTGTAGGCACGGCTCGAAAACATTTTATTCTATTTATTATTTTAAAATTAATAACATACAAAAAAAAAATAAATAAATTTTGTATGTGTTTGCTGTGTAAACCAATTAACATGAGCTGTAAATTTGTTGGCCCTTGAGCACGATGAGTTAATATTCAAGTAGTTGCATGCTTTAGCATTTGGCGACTGGCAAAGTGAATGCCATCAATTAGCTGGCCAAGAAGAGGAGCTCCGCAGCCACTGCTGGCAGCTGCTGTAAAAGTGATCCGCGCGACGATCAAGGTAATAACAACTCGAAGCTGAAGTTCGCCGTCGCCGTTGCCGTCGCCAAATGTCAAAAGAACAAACAACTCTTGTTCTGGTTTTCCAAAACACGTAGCAGCTAATTGCATCAGAAACCGAGCATGGCAAATATTGACAGAGTGTAAGCGAAAACTAATTTTCCATCAAAAGCAGAGAGCAGACGAGATGCCAAGGACGTCAACCTATGCCAAAGCAGATGTCGACGCTGTCCATCAAGAGAGCGCTCAGCTGTGAAAAAAAAAAGAAAACAACTTGAATACAGCTTCAAACTAAGTCAATAAACTGACCATGGAGGACGTGCCAATAAGACGCAGTTAATAAATCTATAAATAGATTAACACTATTTCTACCAAAGGTGTCATAAGATAACATTTCAACTTTTCTTGGCAGAAATAGTCTTAAATTGCAATTAGTTAAAGGCTAGCTATCTGCGTAAAGTGACCATGGAGGACAGCTTCAAGTAATTATGCAAAAGAGTATATAGAATCGTGAAGGCAATCTTTATTTCTAGCTGAGTTATTGGCGCAATATTTTAGCCGCACATTGAAAACAAAATAAAACAAATGGTCAATATGTCAAAATGACGTCAAAATTATTGTCAGCTTTCTCTAGCGGTAGCTATCATAATTCATAAGCAAGTTGTCCCATTTGCTTTTCCAAATTTCTTAAATATATAGGTATATATATCGACATATATATCCCAATTAGCGGACGCTGCGCACTTTAATTTAGTCGAAAAAAAAATTGAATATTTAAATGCCAGATATAAATCAATTAAGACCCATTTACTTGTGCCATAAAACAAAACAGGCATTAATAATACTTATTGCCGTTTAGAATTTAATTTTAAATGAGGAAACGCGTCGCAAAAATACAAAAATTTTCGAATCGCTTATAAAATTGTCTTTGGACCTCGCCCCACCTTCTGTGTGGGCGGATCGCTGGGGAAAATCTGGATTTCTTTTTTTTTTTTTAAGAAATGTGTGAAACGAATTAATTGATACGGTTAGTTATTTGATAATTCGATGAAATGATCGTGCTTATAAATTGGTGTGTGTGCCGCCTCGGTGATCGATTCTCACAGTAAATCAAAGTGTGAAATAGCAATTGTGCCTGTAATTCAATTAAAATCGCGTGCCATTATAATATGCACTGTTAGAAATGTTGTTATGCATATGAAAAGCAAACATTTCGTGTGTTTCCATTCAACATGACATAAAAACTATTTAAATACAATTTTTAACGGCTGTAAGAGAGTGCTGCCCATTTTGGCAAACTGATGAGGACAATTATCATTAAAATCAATCACGTTTAGCTCAATATCATATGATCCAAAAACGTAAATGTTCACATTCCCATATTCATATATCGATTATGCATTCATTTAACAGACAAAAAAGAAACTATTTAAATAACATGGAAGGCTAGAAAAGAAAGTGCTGCCCATTTTGTCAAACTTCTAAGAAATAGTATTAAACAGAGCGTATTCAGTATTTTATTGAAATTGCAATTAAAATTATTCAAGTCAACTCTTTATTATTAGCCAAAAAACGAACATCTTTTTTGCTTTCCTCTGTCAGTTTTCTTGCAGTGTAGTGTATAAATATAATCATTGTTCTCCACGTTAAGCTTAGCAAACCACTACAAAAAAATACTTATTACTCTTGCTGGTGAGCTGGTGGTCGGCAGCAAAGTAAACACCGCCAAATGCTCGATGACTTTACAGTGTTTTTCGAAAATGAAATAAAATTTGAAAAATGCCTCTGTGCGTGTGTGTGTGTGTGTGTGCGAGTGTGTGTTGGCTTTTTTGTTGTGTTCTGCGTACTTTTATTTTCGAAATACTGTTGAAAACCATAAATTAGCTTGTTACTTTTGGAATGCAGCATTCAGTGACGTGAGTGTGTCCTGAGTGTGTGTGTCTCTCTCTCTGTGTGTGTGTGTGTGCGTGTGGGTGTGCTTAGTGCTTTGAGCAGATGAAGAAATAAGGAACTAATTCAATTGGGCGCACAGTCGTCAGCGGTGATCTTTGTGTAAAGAACAAAGGCAGAGCAGAAAAACTCAAAACATGGACAACATTGTGAGTTTTCGGGATGGCATTTTGTTGGGGGATCAATTGTTAGCCCTTGGTTATGTGATTGCGTAATTAACAGGATGAGGATCTGACACCTGAGCAAATTGCGGTGCTGCAAAAGGCATTCAACAGCTTTGATCACCAAAAGACTGGCAGCATACCCACCGAAATGGTCGCCGATATTCTCCGTCTGATGGGTCAGCCTTCGACAAGAAGATTCTCGAGGAGCTGATCGACGAGGTCGATGAGGACAGTAAGTGCTGATCAACACAAACATACCCTATATATACGATATCATATCAATATATTATTTGCTTAGAATCTGGCCGTTTGGAGTTCGAGGAGTTTTGTGCAGCTGGCCGCCAAATTCATTGTGGAGGAGGATGACGAGGCCATGCAGAAGGAACTGCGCGAGGCCTTCCGTCTATACGATAAGCAGGGCAATGGCTACATTCCAACCTCCTGCCTGCGCGAGATTCTCCGCGAGCTGGACGATCAGCTGACCAACGAGGAACTGGACATCATGATTGAGGAAATTGATTCCGATGGCTCCGGCACCGTCGACTTCGATGGTAAGCATCCTACTCCCTACCCCCTCCCAATTGTCAAAATACTGTGCCGCACTTTGGCTCCATGCCAGAAACAAAATGCTGGCCATGGCGACACCATTTTGCCGCCCCTCTCCGGCTGCTTCTCCATTAGGTTGTGCCTGCCCTTGTATAGCGTCTATTTTTAGTTGTGTGTATCTAGATACATGTATCTTTATCTAATGCCGAGCACTAAACGCAACACTTTGAAATTTCTTTCTTTCATTTACAGAATTCATGGAAATGATGACGGGCGAATAAGCACACAGATTTCAAGCCAAACAACAAATAAACATTTCTACGTTTTTCTCAACAATATGCACAAGGGTCTTAAATAAATACACACACATATAAAACAATATTGCGCGGATTGACTGACTGACAGACGAACTGATTGATGTAACAGCTGGAATGCTGACTTATTCAGAGTAGTTGAATGGCGCCAAAACGTTTGGAATAATCTAGAAAAAATCTGTCTTGTTTATACAAGAGCCTATAAACCCTATAAAACGATTCTCAAAATCGATATTTATCGATATTTCTTCGGAAGATTAGGAAGTGCCTAAAAGTATGTGCCCGCGCAAAGCCGGTGAATGCTGCCATTTCGTTCTAATACAGCTGAACTGTTTTATGTTTGAGCCAAATACAGGCACAGCTGACCGCTTGTGGTTGTGCCAACGATGAGCTCTAACAATTGCGCTAAAATTAATCAATTCTCAAACAGGAACTATTTAAGCTAACGGAAAACCCAGCACAACACAGAACACAGCACACGGCACACAGGTATGCAGCATGCGGCAAACACTTGCCTCACTCTCGGCATATTGCATCAGAGTTGGGCTCTGAGTCATGGGGTTAATTAAGGTCCGCAAGCAGCAATTATAAGAGTTTGATTTGAACTCTGATTGATCAGATTGTACGTTTTGCATTTTGAATGCAACTCATTTGTGTGTAATTTGGCAAGGCCAATGCGGCGTATGATTAATATCAGCACACACACATATTAATATATCACGTATACGCACCGTTTCATTGCAAATTCCTTTGCCACTTGGCTGACCTTCTCGCTGTGGCTGGCTGCAAGCAGGCCTGCTGCAAGACATCTTGTTGGTCACAAGAAAAAAATACAATTTTGTCATTTTATACGCTTGCCGACGAGTCCTATAAATTGTTCACAAAATGTGATCATGAAATAATAAACGGATACGTATTTTCGGCAGTCTAAACTGAATCGTACCACTTTATCTAATAGAAACAATACAACCAATTTGTTTGTAATTCAAGCTAGTTGCATCAAAGGGTATCCAATCTTCGGCTACATGTTATTTTAGCTGTGCTTCGTTTTTTGTGCATCTCACAGTTTGTTGACTCAATAATTGAATTGCAGCCAGAACAAATAAATTGGCCAAATGTTGCTATTGCTTGGGCGTGAATGAGCACAGAACGCAGTAACCAAGGGCATGCACGACGGCCAGATGCCCTGTAAGAGGTATGCGAAAAGGCAGAAATCATTGGCGCAACTTATGTGCTTACTTTGATTCCAGCTTGAAGCACGTGTATATTAACCTGCAGTTGATATACCCACTTGTTCGCTCGACTTGTTGGGTATGCATTGTTGCCATATGACAAAAGTTGCACACAAGCATAAAGAAGATGTTGACAACGTGCAGCTCGTCTTCAATTGTTGCTGTTTGGCTGCCAAGTTTGCTGCCTTTCTAAATCACAACACAACAACAAATAGCAATTCTTCAAATGTCAATGTGCATTCCCTAAGTTGGTTACGCTTAGTTATAGGTACATATATATGTTTGAATGTTGCTTGCATGTTTTGGTTTCTTGTTGCCCATATTAAAAAACGAAATGACAAAATTGTGGCCAAAAAACTAAAACGAAATTCGCGAGCAACTGCCCTTTGCTGCTGCTGCTATGTTATTATACCCTGTACCCATCAAAAATGGCTAAGAAAGGGTATAATGTTTGTTGAGCGAGTGTATGTAACGGGCAGAAGGATGCAGCTTCAAGTCCGTAAAGTATATTCTCATATTTATTCATTTTATAAACCAATTATAGAGCTAAAACAAAATCTTAAGTGAACAACAGCAATGGCTGTCAGGGCCTTCAGCTGGACATTAGCAGGAACTTAAATATTTTTTCTTTTATTTTCATATGAATATCAACTTTGAATTCATATATATCTGGATGTTATAGTTATATATTTAAATTTTTACAAAAATCGGACTAATAACAACAATTTATTCAAGAAAAAAGTAGCCTAGCTTGCGAGCTTCTGAATGATTTTTTGGATGAAGTTGGAATATTTGAGAAGGCATCTCGAAGCTGCTTACAGGTATTTTCTGCAAGCTATTTCCAAAGTTATTCAAGAACATATTTCTCCCAGTGTGTGGCTAAGAGAAGAAGCATATAGGGCACAGTTTTTTGTTTTTATGGATGTAGTTCAAATATTTGAAACGGCATCTCGAAGCTGGCTACAGGGTATTTCCTACTTGTTATGACTTGTTGTTGTTGCTGTTGTTGTTGTTGGGGTCAATTTAATTTGGCAATTTTTTGGCCGGCTGCAAGATGCCCTGAGGCTGCGTTGGGTGTTGCTATCGATATTAATGCTATTTATGACCCCTGCCAGAGCTGAGGAAAAGGTCAAACTCTAGACGGATTGCTAAATTGTGCTGCGTTTTAAAAAAGAATTTCAACGCCTCAAAGGGTCAGTTTGTAGATTTATTGACATCCGTTTCATGATGAGGCTGCAAAGCTGTAAAGTTCGCATGCAAATTGTTGTTGTGTTAGCAACTAAAATGGGCTGCAATTGGGAATGGGTTGGGATTTGAATGGGAATTGGCTGGGCTGGGATGGGTTGAGAACGCCGGAGCCAGCGTTCAGCTTCGATTGGGCTGCAATTTACGAGCGCAATAAGCTAACTGGTAGCTGGGCAACTGGTTAACTGAAAGATGCGCTGGTGAGCTCCGGGAGAGCCCGAAGAGTGCGACGCGAGTGTCTCAGTTGTTGCATTGAGCAAACGCCAAGACAATGGCCAGAGTCGGAGCTAGAGCCAGAGCCAGAGACGAGATGTTGCTGTCGTGTCTGTCTCCCTTTTGGCATGCAATTGTTTTTGCCAGCTGCAGCAGCAACAACAACAGCAACAGCAACAACGACAATAAATGCCATAAAGTATCAAAATCTCAGCCTCAGCTTCGGCTTCGTTCATTCCATTCCATTCGATTGCACTTGGCGCCAAGCGCGCTGCATTTGTATAAAAGCCGGAGAACCTGCGCTCCACTCGGCACACAAGTTCCGTGACAATAGACGCGGCCACAGCACCGATTCGCGACAATTGATAACCGGCCAAGCAAACTAAAAGCCATTAACTAGGACTTCCATAGATGAGACGTATTCTCTGAAACTAGGTGCGTGCGTGTGTGTGTTGTGTGTGTGTGCGAGCGAGTGCGTGTGCACACCCCAAGCCAGGATAAGACTTTACTGTGTTTCTAGGTTTCTACTGAAGCGGCAGACGTGATGCAGCTGAAATTGGTGAGTTGTCGGGCAGGACTTTTGCCGATTTTAATATAAATACAATACAAAATAGAGCTCAGGTCCAGAGTGCCTGACTAGGAGGTACCCTAGACCCTACCTTACCTTAAGCTAAACACACTGAATACGAGAGCTTTACACCAAGAATGTTGGATCTAGCTCCCGAAAACTTGGTGCCAAATCTCAAATCGTTATTTTAAAAAGAAAATTATTTAAAAAATCGACTTTTATATAAATAAAAAACCAAGAGTGCTTCAGTCTAGATACACATATCGCTTACCAAGAATCCTGCATTTAGCTCCTTTCATCTTCAAAACCATCTAGTTAACTTAAAAAACTATCTTAAATCATTATTTTAAAAGAAAGGAGAAATTGAAAAGTTAGTTAGTTCCTTAGTTCCTGAGACTGACACAGAGAAGAGATGAGTAAATCGACTTGGCACATAACCAATATACCCCCTTTGCCTTTGCGAACAGAGTATGCAAGGCATGTAAGCTACAAGATTGACGGGTTGCGCACAACATGTTTGTTCTATCAGAAAATTACGTCATACGCTCAAGTTCCTATTCAACTTGATTCCACAACATTTTTGTAGCACTATGTAACTTGGAAGATAAAGTTAAAGATGCAGAGACCAGTTTTCCAAGTTATCTTAAGGGTCAACTAATGCGTAATGGCATAATCGATCAGATTATTAATTGTTATGCTAAGGGCAATTTTACCTCCGAAATGGAATATATCTATATTAAATTTTATTTATTGATTATATATTTAATGGATTAAATATAATCCACATATCATCTATGTTTTGAGCTAGTGAAGTAAGCTCATGTTAGCTCATGTTGTTGAACGTAAGCTAAGGTTCCATCTCGACCTGGACATCGAGATGTGCCTGGTGGTAACTGTGGAGCTAGTTGATATTCCCATTCATTATGTTAATCCAACTTTGCAACTAATTATAGAAAAATCAATTCTAGTTGCATGTGAAATTGCGATTCGCTCATTTGAAATTCTGTGAATTCGTTTGCTGTGCGAATTGCCATTTCGACAGCTCCGCTGAAAAATTGGCCAATATTGGCGCAGATGCCGCCGCGCATTATTTCCGTTCTTTGCCACCAAGTTACCAAGTTGCCGCAACATGTTGTCTGCAACGGCAACAGAAACAGCAAAGATTTAAGGGAAACGCATAAATTAAAAACCCTATTAAAAATCAACGTCTGCCAGTTCATTGATGAAAAAATCTGCACAGCACGCAAAGTGCCCAAGAGCAACAGGCAGCAGCAGCCCATCGTGCACGCCCCCGCCCCCGCCCCAGATGCAGCACCGCGCTTCCCCCAACAAGAAGATCAAAATCTTTAAGATTTATGCGGCGACGACCCCAATTGTCAGGCCATTGGAAATAGACTTCAATTAAACACAGCTCAAGCCTAGACAGAGGCTAAGGGTGCTCTGAGGATGGGCTGAGGATGGGTATTGTATTACAACAGTTCAAAGATCTGGTCACGAACTGGTCGATCATAGTCGGGGGCTGGCTGCAGGAGCACACACAAACTAAATGTCAAATTGTGAGTTTCAACAATTGTTGCTGCGTTTCAGCCTAATAAAGGCTGTCTATAAGCTGTTCAGTCCGCTGGCCAATTAAACTAAACGCTTTAAACTTCAACTTGACACTTGGCTAAGTCAGTTGGTAGCTTGCCTTATGCCTCATGCCACTTGCCACAAATGCTTGCTTAACCTTCTGCGTGCTTCTTTAGAGATTCCACACGCTGCCAGCAACTGTTGCAACTTTTGCAGCAACTGTTGCTAGCAATAGCAGAGTTCATTAATCTGTTAACCGCTGCCCCTCCCCCCCAATTGATGCTCTGTCGATTGGTTTAATAGTTGTCTTTAAGAGCCTCAATAAACGCGTTAATAGCAACAAATGTAAACGTGGAGCGCATTGTTATAATGCCAAAGTTTTTCATATTTTCATGAATTATTTTTCTGTTGATTTTCCAACTATTTCATTCATAGAGGCGTCTGCCAGCTACTTGCTGCCTGCTGCCTGCTGCCTGCCGTTGCTGTCATCTGCCATGTTTTGCATGCGTCGCTATGCCAGCTGTCAGTTAACGATTCATGAACGGATGAATCACTCGTTGTTTACCCCAAAGAATGGGGCACAGCGTGTGTCTCTCTATATAGTTTGCATTGGGCATTGTCTATGTCTGCGACTTGACATTAAACGTTCACTTGCTGCTCTGTTAGTTGTTTAACATTAAGTTATCAGGTGGCTAAGGTTGGTTGTAAATGTGGATACTGATCCATTAAGAGTTAGGTAAAGTTGATGTCATAACCTACATTGCTTTATTGCAATCATGAATTTATCTGGAGGCTAACTTGTATGTAAATCTTATAACTTTAATATAAGAAAGTCGCTTTCTGTGGAACATAGTTGCTGCTCGATTTAACATGCAGTTATCAGCAGGCTAAGATTGATTGTAAGTTATTATATAGCTCTAGCGATAGCAACTCGGAATATTTTAAGACATTCGTAAGTAATCTGAAGTTTTGCGCCCTTCTCTCTCTCTAATCTTTTTATGGGTTATTTAAATGAAATTATAGAAAGCTCTTAAACAGTGCATGTAGAAAAGTATCTTTTAGTAATCGGAGCTTATACCAACTTAAAATCTTGGGTAACCTTTATGGAAATTAGTTTTACACACCTCCTCCTGCCTAAGAATGACTCTTCTTCAACCCGAAGTGTCTATTCGCTCGTGCAGCTTGTTTGCTTATATTGGGGGCCAGACATCGCCCACAACTTGGGCAAAACGTGCATCATGATGGCATATGGCTATATGCTGTGGGCTGTCCCGCGCTCCAGTGAAACCTTGCCATGTGCTGATATGGACCGCTGACTTGGTGGCCGCATCGCTGGGCCGTCGACAGCTCTGCATAAATTAGTAATGTCAGTTGCCTGCTTTGCTAATCTCCCATCTTTCTGGCAGACACTGCTAACAACTCTGCTGACGCTGACGCAGGCGGCGCGGCTGGATAACAAATACCTGCCACCGCCAGCGAATGCGGCCAGTGCGGGCGGCGGAGCTGGCACGGGACTACAGGGTCCGGGCGGCGGCGGCGGCGGCGGCTTTGGTGGCAGCAATAATGGCCTGGGCGGCATTAATAACGGACTCGGTGGATTCTCTGGCGGAGGCGGGCCCAGCAGGCCAATTGGAGCAGCTCCCTCTCCGCCACGTGCACCCAGCGCTCCGGCTCCGCCCGCCGGCGGACCACCAATACCCATTTTGTCCTTTGTGAACGAGAATGATGGCGATGGCAACTATCGCTTCAGCTACGAGACGGGCAACGGCATTAAGGCGCAGGAGGAGGGCACCGTGAAGAACAAGGGCTCCGAGAACGAGATACCCTCGGTGATGGGCTCCTATACCTACACCAATCCAGAGGGTGAATTAGTTGAGATCTCCTACACGGCAGATGAGAACGGTTTTGTGCCATCGGGAGCTGCTCTTCCCACACCCCGCCCATTCCGGAAGCCATAGCCAAGGCGCTGGCAGCCCAGGGCATCTCTGCCCTTCCTGGCGGTGGCTACAGCGGAGGTGGTGAGTTTCAATTATTGACAGCTTCTTTCAGTCTGTGGCTTTAACCTTACTTCTCTATTGGCGCAGGTGGCGGTGGCGGTGGTGGTGCTGGAGCCGGAGGCGGAGCTGGCGCGGCAGCAGGTGGATTTGGTGGCGGCGGCCGAGGTGGCGCACCTGGCGGAGGTGGTGCAGGGGCATATGGCGGAGCCGGCGGTGGCGCTGGCGCAGGCGGATATGGAGGAGGTGGTGGTAGCGGCGGCGCAGGAGCTGGCGGATTCGGAGGTGGCGCAGGTGGTGCTGGTGCAG